AATATGATCAATAAATGTTTTGATAACTTCTGCGTACATGTAATTTAACACATTAATTATAGCGTCGAATTTTTTTGATAGCGTTAAATTACTCTCTTTACAAAGAATGTCCTTAGCATTAAATCTTAACCATGTAGAGGAGTCATTCTTAATATCTAAATTCTGTATAAAATCCCATCCAACTTGTTCCTTTATATGATCCATTACTCCTGACAAATATTTCTCATATGTTTTTGGTCTTATTTTGCAACTCACAAAGCATTTTGTAGTTAGAATCCAAAAAGTATAAAAAATAGAATAAAATAACTTTGGTAACATGATTCACAATTTTAATTACACAAATTTTAAAGTCAGTAAAATTTTATTAGAAATAATTAATATTCCATTTAAAATATATATTGTAGTACCTAACATTTTTATATCATTTTTATTTAATATGCTATTTTAAACAAACACAGCGGTTGATTATTTTTAATTTTTTAAATAATATATTCAAACAATTTTTTTTATATACCTTATATTTAAAATTTGTATTAACTTCAAATGTCTAATCCATAACTATAACTTATATTTTCACACCATTACATTTGGTTTAATAAAAGCAATTTATTTTATTTTATAAATAGAGTGTTACTTTTATTTTTTGGCATTTTATATTTTAGCTTCGATGCGAAGCTGAGAAGATATTGGTTTTACGAAGACATTTTTTTTTTTTTTAGCTTCGATGCGAAGTTGAGAAGGTATTAATTTTACTATGATTTGATTTTTTTCCCAACTCAATCTCAACTTTCGCTGGACCGATTTTGATGAATAATATGTCAAAAGATTACACATCGTATCTAGTCAAAAAAATTATCCTCAAAAGTTGAAAAAAATTCCCTTGTTCTCCATAAACGTGGGAAATCCCCCAAAAAATTGCAAATTTAAAAATCGCTAATTTTCGATATTTTTTCAATTTTTTTTACTTACAATTGCCATAACTGTTTTAAAAATGATCAAATCAATATAATTTTTTTTTTATAGATACCTTAAATATTTACTTATCATTTTATATATTTTTGTGAACATTTGACCCTTTAACAGCCCACAAGAAAGGTTTCAAAATGGTAACATTTTTACAAAAAATTAACTTTTTCAACTTATTTTTTGAAAATGTTCCGGAATGACTGACACTTTTATATATATCTTAAATTAAAGCTTATGTAATATACTTTAATTTGAAAAAAAAATTTGACCCTTGGACTTGTCTTCATGGTGAAAATTACTACTGTATGCAGAAATATGGTATTTTTTCAATGAGTTTTTCAAAATAATTTTGAATGAATATTAAAGAAATAATAATTAGCATTATTTATATTTTAGCTTCGATGCGGAGCTGAGAAGATATTAATTTTACCATAGTTTTTCACTTTTTTTTGTGTCTGTGAACGCTCAATCTCAACTTTCGCTGGACCGATTTTGATGAACAATATGTCAAATGATCACATATCATATCTAGTCGAAAAAATTACCCTCAAAAGTTGAAAAAAATTCCCTCGTTCCCCGTAAACGGGGGAAATCCCCCAAAAAATTGCAAATTTAAAAATCGCTAATTTTCGATATTTTTTCAATTTTTTTTCTTAAAATCGCCATAACTTTATTAAAAATGACCGAATCAATATAATTTTTTATTTTATAGATATTTTAGGTATTTACTTATCATTTTATATATTTTTGTGAACATTTGACCCTTTACCAGCCCACAGGAACGGTTTCAAAATGGCAACTTTTCCACAAATAATTAACTTTTGAAAATGTTTCGGAAAGACTGACACTTTTATATATACTTTAAATTAATGTTTATGTAATATACTTTAATTTGAAAAAAAAAATTTGACCACTATATATTTGACACAAAATATGCTATTTTTGTGGTAATATTTTAGGCATGTACTATACATTTTTAAAATATACAAATAAACTCAACAGGCGTCATTTATCCAAATAAATTTAATACATAAAATAATGTCTTTCGTTTTTTACTTAGATTACACAGCTTGACAAAGTTTGATTAATTAAATTTTTATGAAATTAATATAGCGTATATAACTAATTGATACAAGGAAAAATCATTAACCAAAAGTATGATATCTTACAGCAAAAAAACAAAGGTGAATTAAATTTGCATAATTCATAAAAAGTTATTTCGATTCATAATTTTAAATAATTTTATTTAACACGCATCAAATATGTAAATATGTAATACAACTATACAAAAATTTGTATTGAATTTAAATCTTAGTTACAAGTTACATAAATCAGAACTTAAAATCGAAAGTCTGGGTTTTGTATTTTATTTTATTTTAAAATACCTGAAAAGGGGAGTACAGATTTTCATTAATATTATATAAATAAAAAATTAATGTAGCATAGAAAGTTAAACTTATTTAAATTTATTTACTTCTTTTAAGTCGAGAAAAATAACTTTGAAATTTGATTTAGCTTAAATAGCCAATTTTTCCATCTTACAGTAACAACATATGGTTGCCAGGTTGGTAAAACTTGTCTATTACACGCTTGGGGTACGAGGTTCCTACCCGCATGCGTTAATGAATTTTTTGCATATTTTCTTAATTCTTTTTAAGTTAGTATAAATTTTTAACTCGTTTGATTTTTATCTCATTTAGATCAATAACTTCAATAGAGATCAAGGATCCCATTACTTTAGTCACCCCTTGCAAGAAGAAATTTCTTATTCGTATTAAAATTATTTTACTATATTTTAGATTTTAGCTTCGATGCATAGCTGAGAAGGTATTTTTTTGTGGCTATCATTTATTTTCACTGCTCTAACTTGACCTATATTTTTCAACGATACGTCAAATGATTACAATTCGTATCTAGTTGAAAATATTAACCTCAAAAATAGAAAAAAAATTCTAATTTATCAATTAAAGAGTTACTTATACCATGTTCTCCATACAGACAATTTAAATCATTCATTTCTAATGTTTTCAAAGTATTTATTGACGAATCAAGTTGGATATGATAATTTGATATGATAGGTTTCAACTACAAAATTAAATTATTTTACATTGTAATTTAATAAATTTTTTACTGTAATTGTGTGTACTACTACTAGACTATAATATTACAAATTTTTTGGTACCATGTTGCTATATAAATCATTTCTAAAAAAAATGATTGTTAGTTTCTCCTGAATTAATAATGGATTTTTACAATTATAATCAAATTTTATTATACGCTCAATTGAGTAAATTTGTTTAACAACTTTGTTTTGGTTGGTTCATTTAGTTAAAGTAAATCATTAAAATTAATTAAGTTCTGAATATTTCAATTGCAGAATCTTTTCAAACACCAAAAGTTACTAGGAAATTATTACTATTACTTATATTTAAGTAATCTATTACTATAAAAATGCAAAAAAATATTGAGCTTTTCTGATAAATTTACAATAAATAGTAATTATAAAACTTTTTGACTGCATATCAATGTTAACGATACAATTTTTTTAATTCTTATAGAATTTTCTATTTGATGATATCAATTTCAAACTTGCCAATTGAGCTAAAAGTTATAGTAAAATAAATTTTTTTTTTTTATAATAAATATTTACAAAAATCAACTTAAAACAATTAATAAAATAGGTTAAATATGTCATTTTCTTTATTTTTAACATATTAATAATAAAATCAGTATTAATTTAAAACAAATTTTTTTTGTTCTTAATTATTTTTTTTTATATTTAAATACTATTTTTTAATAATATTAAAACTTAGAAGTGATAAAAGAAGTCTAATTGCACATTTGAAAACATCGCGAAAAGTTGATTTAGAATAGTATATTTTTGTTTCTGATGAAAGTTCCATATAGACCAGTACATTTTTTTATAGTAAAAAACAGTTTTTATTGAAAATTATTGTATCAAGCCCTTTAAATTTTTATACACGCAAAAGTAAAGCAAAATATAACTTCTTTATTATTTTTATAATTTCTCCGTTTAAATTCCAATATTAAATATCAATTTCATACTAAATTTAATAATTATAATTAGTATTTATTCGTATATTATATTTTAAAATCAAAGAACTACTAATGAGGATATAATTAAATAAATAAGAGTTGATGTTGCTTTTGGAATAATCCACCAATTTCTCTAAATGAAAAACTATCTACAGATTTGCATCGAAGCGTTTCTTATGATAGTGATTTTAATCACTGTCAGATATCATCTATACTTGTCCCATCTATGCCTCGTCCACACTGTGCCTCGACCCCACTGTGCTACCGTTTTTNCAGTGCCTCGACTCCACTGTGCTACCGTTTTTTTTTCTTTTGTGTCTGTTACTACTTTTTCCCAGCTGTCACCGACCCGATTTTTTTCAATGATACATCAAAAGATCACAAATCGTATCTAGTCGAAGACATCTCCCTCAAAAATTGAAAAAAATTCCCTCGTTCCCCGTAAATGGGGGAAACTTCCAAAAAAATTACAAATTTAAAAATCGCTAATTTTCGAAATTTTTTCNAAAAAAATTACAAATTTAAAAATCGCTAATTTTCGAAAATTTTTCAATTATTTTTATGTAAAATTGCCATTACTTTTTTAAAAATAACCGAATAATATATAATTTTTTTTATATAAATGCATGATATCATTACCTTTCATTTAGTATATTTTTTTTTTATATCTGGCCCTTTAACTGCTCACAGGTTGGGATTTAAAATGAAAACTTTTTCACAAAAATTTACTTTTTCAACTTAAATTTTGAAAGTGTTCCGGAAAGTCTGACACTTTTATATATATCTTAAATTAAAGCTAATGTAATATACTTTATTATGCAAAAAAAAAATTTCGGACTTTATTTTATCTTCACGGTGAAAATGGCTACCGAATGCTATTTTTGTGTGAAAATTTTCGATTTTGTATTTTACATTTTTAACTTTATTATGCTATAACTTTTTGAAAAATGTATGGATCAGTACAATTTTTTCATGAGGAGTAGTATTTATATACATCTTTCATTTGACATACTGTTTTTTTAAATCCGACCATTTCCCTATATACGAGGGGGGTTCAAATCTAAAAAATGCATGTAGAAAGTAGAACTTTTTCAACTTAAATTTTGAAAGTGTTCCGGAAAGTCTGACACTTTTATATATATCTTAAATTAAAGCTAATAAAATTTACTTTGTTATTCAAAAAATTTCGGACTTTATTTTGTCTTCACGACATAAATGGCTACCAAACGCTATTTTCGTGTGAAAATTCTCGATTTTATTTTTTTAATTTTTAACTTTATAATGCTATAACATATTGAAAAGTGTTCAACATAATTTTTTTATGAGAAATAATATTTTTTAATAATCCCTTTTTTATTCGACATACTTTATCTTAATCAGGATATTAATAAGGAACTAGCTTTTGGAATAGTCCACTAATTTTTTAAAATTAAACAATATCTAAAGATGTGCATCGAAGCGTTTTTTTTTATAGTGATTTTAATTATTGTTAGATATCATTATACTTGATCCAACTATGCCACGTCACCATTGTGCTGGTTTTTTTTTGTTATTGTTATTGAGTAAATAATACAATTTGTTCCAAACAATGAGAACAGTAAAAACACGTTTCCTTACTTATTGTATATTCTATATATCTAATCAAATAACCCAGCTATGATGGGACTCCTACTAAATTTTGTGATATACCTATAAGAACAGCACAAAAAGCTCAATATTTGGGTAGAACCCCCAAAAAAATTATAAATAGATATAGAAAAAAAATTGATTAATAAATTAATTAAATTTATTTAAACCTAATTCTTCATAGTAAACTTTTATAACATTTTCAGAAAATACAATAAGTTTGTTACAAGCAGATGAAAAGGTGTCCGTATTTATTGAATTAGGTATGTCAATGTTTAACAATAAATTCCTAATTGGACATTGTTTTTCATGTGATTCATTTAAAGTACGGTGTTTCGATTTGTGATATTTTAAAAATTTTGTGATATTTTTAACACTTATACTTGCGTAACACAGATTCTTACTCTGTTCACTGATATCAATTTTGCTATCCAAAACATCTATTGAATATTTTTCAGAATTTATTTCCTCAAGTAATTTTGTGATTAAAGTACACAAGCATTTTAAATTCGAATTCCAGTTGTCATGAATATATTCTCCTATTTGTTTATTTAAAGATACCAATGTTTTATACATTACTTCAAACATTTTAGTTGACTCGTGAACTGCATCAAAAATTTGTCGCACTAAATTTATATATATTAAATCATTACATTTCACATATCTCATTTCACAATAACTTAATATGAAGATTACATATTCATAATACTTAAACATTATTTCTGTATAAATGCACTTGATAACTCTTAATACATGTTGCTTTTTACAATGAAAATTTAGTCTGTCTGCTGGGTGTCTAAGAATACGGTCGACGCTTATAACTTGATCATTAAATACAATATGAATAGGTTTCAATGATTTCCATCCATTTTCTTTAGTAATTGCATTTATTAGTTCGATTCCCTCTTTTTGATCAATATTTTCATATAAATAAACTGGAAATCTGACACTACTAAAAAATATATATAGTGTAATTTATTAATAATATTAGCATTAATTTATTTGATAAATGTTCAGATTAAAATTTGTTAATTTTTTTAATAAATTGTAAATATTAAGTTTATTATAATAAAACTATTCCTAAGGATAGATTTTATAGGATATTTTTAAAATTTTAATAAAAACTTATTATTTCTTTGTATGTTATACAAACAATGGGCAATAAATAAAATAAAATTTTATTGGATAACAACATGATCAATAACATTATTTTCGATGCGAAGCTGAGAAGGTATTAATTTTACATGATGTGTTTTTTTTTTATTTATTTATTTATTTTTTTTTGTGTCTGTTACTACTTTTTATCAGCTTTCACCAAACGGATTTCATTCAACGATACGTCAAAAAATCACAAATCGTATCTAGTCGAAGACATTACCTTTAAAAATTGAAAAAAATTTCTTCGTTCCCTGTAAATGGGAGAAACCACCAAAAAAATTACAAATTTAAATATCGCTAGTTTTCGAAATTTTTTCAATTTTCTTTACTAAAAACTGCCGTAACTTTTTCAAAAATGAACATATCAATATATTTAGATGTTTGATGTGTTTACCTATCATTTGGTATATTTTTTTTGTAAATTCGACCCTTTATATGCCCACAGAGAGTATTTTTAAATGACAACATTTTCACAAAAAATTAACTTTTTCAACTTAACTTTTGAAAATGTTCCGGAAAGTTTGACACTGTCATAATATATATATTATATATATTAAATTAAAGCTAATGTAATCTACTTTATTATGTAAAAAAAAATTTCGGACTTTATTTTGTCTTCACGGTGAAAATGGCTACCAAATGCTATTTTTGTGTGAAAAATCTCGATTTTATAATTTACATTTTTTACTTTATAAGGATATAACTTTTTAAAAAATGTATGGATCAATACAATTTTTTCATGTGAAGTAGTATTAATATACATCTTTCATTCGACACATTTTTTTTTTAAATCAGACCATTACCCTATATACTGGGGGGCTTTTATATATATCTTAAATTAAAGGTAATGTAACATACATAAATTTGAAAAAATAAAAATTTGACCTCTGGACTTGTCTTCACGACAAAAATGGCTACCAAACGCTATTTTCGTGTGAAAATTCTCGATTTTATTTTTTATATTTTTAATTTTATAATGCAATAACTTATTGAAAAGTGCATGGATTAACAAAATATTTTTATGAGAAATAATATTTTTTAATAATCCCATTTTCATTCGACATACTTTACCTTAATCAGGATATTAATAAGGAACTAGCAGATCATGTAGCTTTTGGAATAATCCACCAATATTTTTAAATTAAACACTATCTAAAGATTTGCATCGAAGCGTTTATTTTTGATAGTGATTTTAGTCACAGTCAGATATTATTATACACCCAGAGAAAAACCTCGATCTATATAATAAATTCATTGTTCAATTTAATAAATATATCATTACTATTAAACCTATGATATCAATATGATAATTTTTTTTCTTGTCTTGAACAATAATTTTTCATAAGAATGTTATTTTGTTCGTATTAATAAAACATTATCATAAACCCTTGATAAAATTTCTCTATCAAAATAGATTGAGGTTTTTATTTGGGTGTACTAGATCCAACTATGTCACAACACCACTGTACCGCAACCTTACTGTGCTGGGTTTTTTTAGTTATTTTAATTATATATGAAAGTGGTGCCCAACGTTAAACTCTTATATAAACATTAACAAAATCATTTTTTTTTATCATCATAAATAAATAAGAGAAATGGGGGGAAACAAATATCACAGGTAAAGTGAATAACGTTAAATTTTTGTAAATATTGTATTATTTTTTGTTATTAGTAGATACTTATTTTTTCTGAAATGACTGATAAAATTATATTTTGATGACATGAAAGTCATTATACAGTTAATAGCTTAATGAATCCACGATTATTGAGAATTTGAGAAAATATGATTTTTTGTCTAGTTAGTTTGCCAAATAACATTTATAAAAACTTGGTTCTATTCTATTCGCATCTACATAAGGGGCTCTTTAGATGCAGTATAATTTTGTAAATCAATCAGTAGTACAAGAAAATATGGAATTTTTTACGTTTAATAACGTTAATTTATAAAGTTTTCAAATAAATAATCTTACCTTTCATTTTTTGATTCTAAAACTTGTTCAAAACCAAGATTTTTGTATAAATTTGTAGAAACTTCAATATAATACATGTTAAGCCATTCACTTAAATAATAACTCAACTCGATGTTTTTATTTTGTAGCGCTTTATAGTCTTCTAGATTCTCTTCAAGTGAGAATTTTGGTTTATGATTGTGAAAAACTAAACTATTTTTTTCTTTAATTTTCTTATAGGCCTTGTGACCTTTTCTTTCGATAAAACTGTTCACATCTAAAATAACCTCACAAGCATCTTTTTTTGTGTTTGGATCGTTTGGATTGATAAAAATCTGTGTATTTTGTTTAGTTTTTAATGATGCATATTCTACAAAAGTATAAATTTCATCTACTATAGGTACAGAGAAAGTTTTTTTTTTATTCGCTAATAGTTTAATATCTATGTTGCTAAGATAGTTCATTACATTGTATAACTGTTCAAACATGGTTTTCGAATTTTCCACAACACTTTGAAGTAAAACTGTACAACTTAAAAAATTATCTCCCTGGTTTAAGTCATAATATTCTTGACATCGTTTAGCTATAGCGCAAATATGATCAATAAATGTTTTGATGACTTCTGCATACATGTAATTTAATATATGAATTATAGCATCGAACTTTTTTGATAGTATTGTACTACTTCCTTTGCAAATAACGTCCTTAATATTAGTACTTATCTTTGTAGAAAAGTCGTATTTAATTTCCAAATGTTGCAAAGAATCCCATCCAATTTGTTCACTTAAATGATCCATTACTTCTGTCAAATATTTTTCATATGATTTTGGCTTTATTTTAGAACTTACAGAACATATTGTATTTAAAATCCACATAGTATAGCAAATGAAATAGAATAATTTGGGTAACATTATTTAAAATTTAAATTATACAATATTATAGTAAGTGAAATTTTAGTAGAATTTATTAATTTTCTGTGTTAGATATATATATTTTAGTTCCTATCATATTTATTTAAAATAATATTTTAAGCAAACACAGCGGTTGATTATTTATAATTGTTTAAATAATATGTTCATACAATTTTTTTATACACCTTATGCTTAAAATTTGTATTAACTACAGATTTCCAATAGACAATTTTACTATTTTTTACACCTATAGATTTGATATAATATAAATATTTTTTTTATTCTATTAATTATAAAAGTTCTATGAATCAGGATTAGTATATATTGAAAAGAAATATTTACATGATTATAAGAAACGATAACGTTATGGGGTTGTAAATCGTTTAGCGCTACTGGTTTTTAAGTAATGCAATATACTGTGTAAAACATGGATATATTTCTTAGTAGGTTAAAAAAAACCTATATGACCTGATTTATCATAGTCTTATTAAATGTTTGATTATTAGCAGTTTAAGACAATTTTTTACAAATAATTATTTTGAAGTTGTTATAAACATTATTATAAGAACGTCGTTTGTCAGTTATAATCTGATTTGCATCAGTCACATGGTTACATATATATATCAAATAGAAAATACGCATTAAGTTGAAAATTTGTTTTTTTCTCAATTAAAAATTACTGTGTTGAAAATTAATAAGTATTGTTTAAATTAATTGATTACATGCTAATATATGTATTTATTTCGCAATTAATGAAATAATTTATTATGAAATTTTTAGATCATTCGTATATGCTTACATACTTGTTGTTATAATTTTTATTATGGTGCCTTTCTTAAAATTTGTGTTAGTTATATGTATCTACTGTCCTCATGTCATTTAATGTGAAACACCAAATAACCATGTAGAAACACAAAAAAGTATTTTGGATGAAAGGGATAAAAGGATGTAAAAGGTGAGANGGAATCACAGTTTCGTCGTGGCATAGTTGGGACAAGTATAGATGATAACTGACAGTGATTAAAATCGCTATGGTAAGAAACGTTTCAATGCAAATCTGTAGATAGTGTTTAATTTTAAGAAAGTGGTGAATGACTTCAAAAACAAAATTAAATAATTTTTTGAGTTAATTTAATTATTAAATATGTGTAAGAGGGGGTTATTGTATTTAAACCTGCAGTTAATAATAATATATATTTATTTGTTTTTATATTCCGTACGATTGGCTTAATTAAATTGCTACACAGACGACAACAGTTAAATTTTAACTCAAAGATTTCATAGATAATTTTAATGTGTATTATATAGATTTGCAACTGATTATTGATTTTAATCAAACTATGAACATACTAAAAATCATATTAATTGATTCTAATTTATAATTATTGGTATTTTTATTGATTACTTATATTTATATCACATAGTGTTTTATTTGTAATTTATATTGTGTTATTTATTATTTTTATTGAATGAATAATACAATTTTATTTAAACTAACGACCTCAGTTTTTCTTTATTATATATCAAAATTAATTCAGATATCCAGCATAGACGGGTATCTGTGATCAAGCTGTAAGAACAGACTAAAAAGCCCCTTGTTTGTGTTAGAACCTAGCTAGGCATAAAAAAAATAAAAATAGATATAGAAAAAAAATTGATTAATAAATTAATTAAATTTATTTAAACCTAATTCTTCAAAGTAAACTTTTATAACATTTTCAGAAAATACAATAAGTTTGTTACAAGCAGATGAAAATTTATCGGTATATATTGATTCAGGTATATCAATGTTTAATGGTAAATTTCGTAATCGGCAATGTTTTTCATGCGTTTTATTTAAAGAACTTTTCAATTTGTTATATTTTAGAAATTCTGAGAATTTTCTAACGCATGTTGTTGCGTCCAATTGCGATACTTTCATATTATTTTTATCACTTTTGGTAGCCAAAACAGCCATTGAACAATTTCCAGATTTTATTTCTTCAAGTAAGTTTGTTATTAAAGTACACAAAGATATTAAATTAGAATTAACGTTGTCATGATTATATTTTCCTCTTAAATTATGTAATGAAACCAATGTTTTATGCATTATATCAAACATTTTAGTTGTCTCATTTACTGCATCAAAAATTTGTCGCACAAAATTTATATATGCTACATCATTACTTTTTACATAAACCGCTTCACAAAAATTTAATAAGGAAATTACATACTTGCAATACTTAAACAATATTTCTGTATAAATACACTTGATCAACCTTAATACATGTTGAATTTTACAATGAAAATTAATTCTGTCTGTTGGGTGTCTAAAAATACGGTCTACGCTTATAACTTGACCATTAAATATAATATTAATATGTTTCAACGACTTCCATCCACTTCCTTTAGTAATTGTGTTTAATTGTTCGATTACTTGTTTATGACAAATATTTTCATATGAATAAATTGGAGGTTTGAAAATACTACAAAATATATACACTGAGATTTATTAAGTATACTTCTCATAGTTTTTTCGTAAATAATGTTTTCATAGAAATTAATTAATTATTATGAATCATTGTAAATATCAAGTTTATTGTAAGAAAAAGTAATTATTGGGGGGTAAATTTTGAGAATTTAATGGGAACTCGTTATTACTTTATTTATTAGTTAGAATGAATTAAATAAAAGTTTGACTAGTTCATATCCAGTTCGATAAAATTATTTTCTGATATAATAATTAATTCTTATTGGGTAAGGGGACTAAGACTTTCATCTAGCATATAAATATTATAACAAGACATTTTTTTTTTGTTAGTTGATTATAATGTTATTATCGGACTTGTAAACTTTTTCATTAATAGAATATTTAATGATATAAACAGTAATTTATAAATGTTTACTATTACTCTACAATAATATCAAATAGATTTTCTTACCCTTCCTTTTTTGATTCTAAAACTTGTTCAAAGCCAAGATTTTTGTAGAAATTTGTAGAAATTTCATTATAATACATGTTAAGCCATTCACATAAATAATAGCTCAACTCAATGTTTTTATTTTGTCGTGCATTATAGTCTTTTAGATTCTCTTCAAGTAAGCACTTTGATTTACGATTGTAAACAATTAAACTATTTTGCTCTTTAATTTTCTGATAGCTTTCATTACCTATTCCTTTGATAAAACTGTTCACATCTAAAATAACCTCATAAGCATCTTCTTTTGTCTTAGGATCGTTTAGGTCGATAAAAATCTGAGTATTTTGTTGAATTTTTAATGTTGCATATTCTACAAAAGTATAAATTTCATCTACTATAGGTACAGAGAAAGTTTTTTTTGCACTCGCTAATAGTTTAAAATCAATGTTGCTAAGATAGTTCATTACATTGTATAACTGTTCAAACATAGTTTTCGAATTTTCCACAACACTTTGAAGTAAAACTGTACAACTTAAAAAATTATCTCCCTGGTTGAAGTCATAATATTCTTGACATCGTTTAGCTATAGCGCTAATATGATCAATAAATGTGTGAATGACATCTGTATACGTGTAATTTAAAATATGAATTATAGCATCGAACTTTTTTGGTAGTACTATACGACTCCCTTTGCAAATAACGTCCTTAATATTAGTGCTTATTTCTGTAGAAATTTCGTTTTTAATTTCCAAATGTTGCAAAGAATCCCATCCAACTTGTTCACTTAAATGATCCATTACTACTGAATAATACTTTTCATATGTTTTTCCTCTTATTTTGCAACTCACAAAGCGTTTTGTAGTTAGAATCCAAAAGGTACAAAATATAGAATAAAATATCTTGGGTAACATTATTCAAAATTTAAATTACACAAATATTATAGTAAGTAAAATTTTAGTAGAATTATTAATTTTCTAGTTAGATATATATATGTTAGTACCTAACATTATTATATAAATTAATATTTTTAAGCAAACACAGTGGTGGATTATTTTTAATTGTTTAAATAATATGTTCAAACATACAATGGGTAATATTTTCGACTAGTTAAAATTTATGATATTGACGTATCTATGAAAGATATCGTTTCGGTGAGAGCTGAAAAAAGTGGACAGATACACAAAAAAAACTTATGGTCAGGAAGGGTATTTTGAATAGGGGTTATCTTAAATGAGGCTGGTATTCTAATAAAACAAATAAATTATTTTTGTCACATATTTTGCATATGCGGTACACTGAAAAAGAGTATTATACACTTTAATTTGTGAATCTTCACTTTCATCTCAATTTGTGATAAAATGTAAATATTGAATCGATTTATACTTAAAATTTTTAATTATAAGAAAAAAATGTTATTTTTCAATGTCAATATTTAGTATTGTACAACTTTTACCATGTTTATATTTGCCCCTGAATATGTTTACGGGGGGGGGGGGGGGTAAATGTAATATTTAATCGAGGTAATTTTAAATTTAAAATTGAATAGGTAGATTGCTTATATGTCTGACACCTAATTACACAATGAATTGTATTTACTTCTCGAAGGGTGTGATGTAAAAATGGTACAGGACAATGATTTTGTGGTGACATGGGCGCCTGATTTCTTGCGGCTAGAAGCGTCTATGTGGCCTAAAATTCCAAGGAGCTATGACACGTGTGTGGAAGAAAATAAAAATGTTATGCTTGTAGTAGCTAAAAATCAAAAGCCGTCAACCCAACCCAACCGTATATAATGGGGTTCAAATCGCCGTCTAAATAAAGATCATTAATGTCGGTGAATCTGAATTAAGCGAAGTGTTAATTAAGTTTATTAAATTAGAGCAGAAAAAACATTTCGTCGTAGAAATAACATGTGTTGCAAAAAGGTGTCTTTATTAATGGTTACAGTCAATTCAGTAGATTAAATGCGTTTTAGACGCAAATAATACGCGTTGGTGGCCGGCTAAATAATTCGGTAGTTGCAAATAGAGACAAAAAAAAATCCAACACAACTACCGTCAAAGTGCAAGCTAACTAAATCAATTTTCGAAGACGAGCACATAAGATTGGTATCACAAGAGTTGTT